ATCAAAACAGGAGTGAAACAGTGGGTGTGCATGCGTTAAACAAATTATGTGAGTGGTTGAAGGTAAACGTTGATGAGTAGTAACCAAACTGTGAAAGCGGTTGAAGATAAAGGTTGACGAGATGGCAACCAACAGTTTCAAACCCAGAGCTTAGAAGTAAAAAATATTGAAATTCTTATGTCTCGAGATTTAAAGTTTTTGACTGTTTTCAGAGTATAAACCTCTCGTTGGCTGATATTCGTAACAGAACCTTACGTCCAATCCCGGGAAGTATAGGTGGACGCTCAGTTTGTTGGACGCAGCCCCCAGCACGATTTTTAGTCCAAACATATTCAAAACTAATCCGAGAAGCAACCCACCGGAGAGAAAAGACTATCATCTAGGCACGGAACGGTGTGTAGTCTTGACTGATTCACTAGAAATGAACGACTCTGTATCCTAAAGCAATCTCTTTTAGAAAATCAAACGGAAATAGAAACTTCATGCCTTGGTTTCATCTACCACCTATCAAGAGAAAGCTTTCTAAAGCAGTTTGACTCACACTTGCAACCTGCTGGTCCGTGCAATGTATCAAACACTATCAAGCTAAGTTCTCAGTACGCCGCACTAACACAGTTCTCTCAATTGATCTTGAGCTCGGTTACTTCGTTAGATTGTCAAGACTTGAGGTTGGAACTTTCCACACTGAAGGGGATAAAATAAACAGCTGATAGGCGCTGTGCGAACTCAGTTGAGAGTCCAGCCCTTCTCTCGAGCTTTTCACTCTGATAATAATGGACATCTTGGTAAATTCAGTTGAAATCACTTGCCAAAAAGTTGTTTAGCGAGAGATTTCGTATGGATGTCATCTAGGGTTCGTCAGCGCGGTCGAATTCTTCGGGGTTTCTGGTGAAGTCCTTCACCAGTGTACTACGGTACTCGTCCCATAGAGCCCACATCCACAATAAAGATACTACCTTGTGATTTCGTGAAGAACACCCATAATGTTGATCTGCCACTCCCTTAAAGTCCCTCCCGAGTAGTTTCCCTCTCTACGAAGACCACCATGGCTGGTGGTTTTCTTCTTGTTTGTTTCATCGTCAAATCACACATGGCCGTTATGCGCGGATAACAGGGCGATGGAAAAAACTTGAAATGTTGCCCACTATGTGTTGAAATTAGTTCAGGATCCGTGGGACTGTGTGCAGCTGACCAAATGTCAGAACAAAACGCCGGTCGAAGTGGATTTTCTTCCTCAAAATGGTATTAGAAATTCGGTTTATGGGCTCGTAGGTCGTGCTTCAATCGACCATGGTCCTGTCACGCGAAGCGTCTACTATCTTCAAGATGGAACGTTAAAAATTCTACAGAGGATCAAGAAAATACTGAGGTGCTCATCTTGCCCTTGGCCACCGGGCCACTCCCAAGCATTCTGTGCCCCTATTGCGACATCCCTTAATCACTCTCTTAATATGAATGTTAAATTAGGTAAGAACGTGAACGGGTTGGCAGTGTGGCCATACGGGAATCGGGGACGGTCTGGATGTCAATAACAGGCTTTTATCATTTCTGTCCACAGGGGATCTGCACAACCCTAGTTCTCAGTTCCTCATCTGTTGCATGGCCTTCATCATGAGCACGTGTGTGTCAGCGTCCAAACTTAACACCTAAACCGGCGTCGATAACGTCAGCAGTTTCTGTCTGTTCGTGTTCACATCACCACCTTTAAACAGTCTTCCCTCTGTCCTGGTGCGAATATTCTAGTGAGATCATACCAAAGAGGGGAAGCATTGGAATCGAGTTTCGTTTTCTATTCGACACCATCATCCTTTGCCGTCGCCAGATCCGAATTTTGGATATTTTCACAAAAAACAAGCATGTTCCCACAAATCCACCAGAATTATCATTTCTGAATAAGTGAATGTATGCACACTGAACCGATATGAAGGGCCTGCCCGAGTTCTCAGACAACGGCCTACTATCTCTCCTGGTTGTGTCGATCTATTGATCAGGACTTCCAATTCACCATGTTTATCGGAAATGTGTCAGGTGAATTTTACTCAGTAGTGTGCGTAAAACGAGAAAATCAGCTTGAAATGTGATATCGATCATCGGAAGATTAGAAAACAACTCATACAAAAAGCATAAAGATTTCCTTGGCTCTGATTGGACGGGACTTGACTTGAGCTGAAAGTAGAAGAGATAAAGTGAACAAAGGTGAATGGGAGATTCCAACGACACCTGAAATTTAGTCTTTATAAGGCAGTGGATGACTTCCACAATTCAGTGTGGTTTGGTATCTAGTCGGCTCAATCGATCGACTTACTGATAGAGTGGGGAGGTCTGGCAAGTGCAATACAGGTTTCCTGCCGACCTTTTGTGGACACTCCGGAGAGAATGCCAAAAAACAATACATCTGATTTGTTATTAGAATGATTTCCACTTTCATACTTGTAGAATCAGGCTTGCGCGTGGGAAAGGGACCACGTCGAGGCAGCGAAACGTCAAGTCACGTGGCCTTGTAATTAGTGGTAGTATGAGGAGAATTGGTATCTTTCAACTGCAACTTTATCGTGTTACTGAAGGCAACTTATGGTGAAAAGCCGAGAAGCATTGTACAGCTGTTTCATCCTTGTTGGAAATCATTAGAACAGCGCATCCCACGACAGTCAGAGAGTTTCGAACCCGCCACTTTCCCGTCAGTGACGGAACACTCAACCGTTCGGTCACAGACGGCTAGAGAGAGCACTGTGTGACTGGATAATATGTCTAAATGGAAGCTACCCACCCTAGTTCTAAGCCACCAATGGCCGATCTGTTGAATTTTCAACCACAGGCCAGAGACTGGCGGTTTTGAAACACCCTGAATTTCAAGAGATTCACACAGCTGATGATTTCAAAAAGCGATGAAACAGCTTCTCAACTGTTCATCATGGATCGGCCTCACTGAAAGAATGAAACCTCAACTGACCGTTTAATGTTTGATCGTGCTGATCTGCTCATCCTCAGAAAACAAACCGAATCAGAGCACGAGGCGAATACTCAGCAGCTTTTGGTAGGGGTGATTGCTGTTTGGAGGGACCTACGATGGGAGGATTTACAGCGTCTACTGTAAGTGGAGCCTTATTGGGAATCATCAGCGGTGCGCACCTTGCGGAAATCCGGGGAGGCTCGAACCCGTGACCTCTTGGCCAGTAGTTTGAACACTTAACCATTGGGCGACGAGTGGCTGATCAGCACTTGGACAGGATATAGCGCCGCTCATCCTTCAATCACGGGATCCACATCACGCGGTCACACGTGTTGACCGGCTCCTCAAGCAACGACTTCTCGGATGGAAGTTTCACTCATCGGGTGAAACTTCCACTGAGTTACTTGTAGACTGTTCGTAGTGTGAAGAGATTTGGGAATTTAGTGGAGATTTCATCCTGTAAGTGAGGCCAAACTATGCGCTTAACACCCTAGAAGCACTTTACAGCTGTTTTATCTTCACTGGAAATCATCACTAGTGCGCATCTCGTCCAATAACATCGTCCAATAATCCACCAAACATCACATACACCTATCGCGTTTGCTGGTGAAGCATTTTTTTCAAAACTGTTTACATGTGAAACAGATTCATAAGTAAACAAACAATGCGTCAGACAGGTTTGAACCACGGACCAACTGTGGGTACCGCGTCAATGCGCCACCAAGACTCAGAATCAACCAAAGTTACTCAATAAAGAAAATCGCTGTGAAAAGTGAAGCTGTCATATGCGGATGACTGTGATTCGGCTTGTCGGTGAATCTGTGTTCATCAGACCAACAGTTTGGGTCACAATTCGTCTGAGTTGAAGGCTCATACGCGTTGATTTTGTGCGCCTTTTGTGTACACCGTCCAGCTTGCTCCGTAATTTGTGCGCATGCGTGCGTTTGAAGAATTATGCCGGGTGGTGGCGAAATGGGGCTTTGCGAAGNGAATTATGCCGGGTGGTGGCGAAATGGGGGCTTTTCAAAGCAAGACGAAACAAGAATACAGGGGTTTTGCCGCAGACGGGTCGGTCCAAGTAACATTTCCCCAAGGTAATGTGACACATTCTGATCACTGCCAAATGGATAGACTAGCTTAACTAATTCTTTAGTCAATAGTTTACCTGCAAAATATCGCCACAGTTGTTTGCAGCGTCACATTCCCCCTACAAATTACAAGTCCCTGCACCTTAGAGGCTCTCGTCACGCCAGAGAAATCGTCCAGTCAACTGCAGTCCACTGGCTGATCGATCAGACGACTAATCAATAATTCCGGCTGTTTCAATGAACTAGTGTGATCCCACAAGTGTCTGGTCACACATATCCGGTAAGTGGAAAGCAATACAAAAGCTGTAAACGCTGAGGCCTAGTCACCAAACTGCATTCAGAAAGAAGGTTATAGTAAAGGCGTAATACACTACTCATAGGTTGCTGACAATTCTCCGACAGCCCACGACCGGTTCCGCCCTTCTTGAGGCTCATCAGATATGTGCAGTCCCCGAATTTCCGTAAACCCCATGTTCTACTTGAACCCAAATTGTAAGAAATTAGCTAAATACACTCTTTTGCAAACAAATTTGATATTGCGAGAGACCCAGCTGGAACCCAGCTGAATCTCCTGTTTATAATGTTCCCAGGCAGCTGAATGTGCTGCACCAGGCTGCTTCAGGTTTCAGTTGGTACGATATTCGACAGCAGGGTTTTTGAATAGGCTAGTACACCAAAGAATGAATGAACTGTGAACAGACCATTTTCCAAGGTCCTGGTTCCAGACCAAGGCCAACATCATCAGTATGACGTCATGTACAAACTCCGACCTGAACAGTGATACGCCTTAGCGGTGACCTAAAACCCATGTCAAGTGATCGATAACTAGTCCAACCAACTGCTGCTTAGTACTCAACTACAGAAGAGTTACCAAAGACTTGTTAGAGCCGGACTTTTTCCCCCTGCTTTAGTCGGATGATCATGGTAAGATTTGTGATCCGAACGGACTCCCTAAAAACGTCCTTGAAGTGCATGATGTAAAGGGGTACCACCTCATGTTGATGCCTGATGAACCTGACAACTGAAATTTACCGGTGAAAGGAAAGAAGGCTTTGCTGCCGAGTTGTTTATTAGCGAAACACCAACTGAACTGTTACGGACTATTGGATAGGGGAACGAAACTCTAACATGCATCTTGTTACAAAACTGAATATCCATCTTCACCTTGAACGCGTCTACCCGAACTTTCCTGGATATTCATTGACTGGTACTCAAATGCAAGCAAATGCTACAAAGCGATCCCACAAATTCCGTAATAGATCTCAATTTTCAAGAGATGCGAAGCGGATTTACGAGAGAACGTACCACTCGTCTGCCTCCAGTCAGTAGTATCACCGTTACACCGGTATTGTAAGAAAATCTTGTAAGTGAAGGCCATCCAGGCTGAAAGTCGAGAAGCGCCGTACAGTTGTTTTATACCCCATGGAATTCATCACCAGTGTTCATCTCACGAACCTCCAGAGAGCTTTGTTCGATCCAAGGCAGACGTTCACCGTGAACCGATATTCACATCGAATGCTGGAAATAAAATCATCGTAAATGTGCGCTTTAAACAACTACTGCTAAACACTAGTAGCAAGAATTTAAAACACGGATTTACTGCAAGTTTCAACAAGTTTACACTGAAAATGTAGAACATCATTCTTAGTGGTTTGTACCTGCATCGATAGCGGGCGGATGCTAGAGGGTGAAAATCCTCAAAACTGATTTCTTGGGAGAAACTAGAAAGATCTTTGAGACGATTGCATGGAAGCACGTAAAACAAGTCACTTTCATTGAT